CTCCCATCCGGCCACCTTGTCCTGCCCTCCACCACGGCCACTTTCTCAACTCTAACACCAGATCCCAAATGGCTTAACCTCCCTGCGTGAGCCAGGTAAGATGCTATGTGTGCGAGAGTGCGTGCGTGCGTGCGTGCGTGTGTGTGTGTGTGTAGTGATGGTGAGTGGAAGGGAGAGGCCGCAGAAGCAACCTCCATGCCCGCCTACTTGAAGGAATGTCATCCTCACAGTACAACACCCTGCAGGATAGCAACCGTGTGTCTCCTACAGATAAGAAAACGGGGGCTCAGAGAAGCTTGTTCAAGGCCACGACAGCTAGTGAAAAGCAACAATGGGCTTCCAGCCAGTCTCTCTGACTCCCAGGTCTCTGCCCCTCCAGTGGGCCACAGCTGACCCTCAGCAGGGAATAAAGACTGAATTGGGTGGATAAAACCACTTCCTCGAGTAGGTAGACCAGCCAAACAGATTAAAATCCTAATTTATTTGAAAAAAAAAAATCCTAATTTATTTGGACCTTCAGAAACAAGCTACCTTGGGGCCCCTGGGTGGCTCAGTCGGTTAAGCTTCCAACTTCAGCGCAGGTCACGGTCTCATATTTCGGGAGTTCGAGCCCCCACATTGGGCACTGTGCTGTTAGCACGGAGCCTGGTTCGGATCCTCTGTCTCCCTCTCTGTCTCTCCCCTCCCCTGCTCATTCTCTCTCTCAAAATTAAATAAATAAAACTTAGGAAAAAACCAAAGCAAGCCACTTTCAGTTTATAGCAGTTCTGGGGGTAGTGAGTCTCCCGCTCGTATACCCAAGCGCTCTGTGTCTGGGGTACTTGCTCTTCCTGGCCTCCCTGATAGCTGAGAGGCTAATCCTGCTCTCACCTTTTCTCCCGATACCGATTCAGATAGAAGAGGCTGGGCTGTTTGATCGGATCTCCTTCCCAGCCCGATTCCTGTCCCTAACCCCGACTCGAATGCCAGACTGCCACTGCCACCAACCCAGGCAATGACACCCAATGGCTTCCTCTAGCTGAGCCAGGTCTCCAGACGTGGGCACCAGAAATGCTCCGTTACTGCAGGCATTTTGGCTTAATCTAGGGAAATAACAGTTGTAACAACAAGAGCAGGTGCTAACTGGTCTCCCGCATCTGGATCCAATCGAATTACTTGCCTTCATCTCTGCCATCCTCATCAGTAAGGTGGGGAAACGGAGGCTCAGCGAGGCCAGGCAGCTTACCCAAGATTACACAGCTCCTACGTACCAGAATCAGTGTTTGAAATCTAGAACTGTCTGCAGCAGAATTGTCTCCATGCGCATTGGAAGCTCTTTTCTGGGCTGCCCAACGTTCGCAGGGACATTTTGGCTGCAGTGGTGAGCTGGGTGGTAATCGTCAGGGAATAGTCTATTACAGTAATTTTTTCCAACTTAGCATTATATCTTTATTTTTCTGGAAAACTTTCAAACCCATGGAAACTAAAAGACCTGAACAATGAACGCTCGTATACTCTTCACCCACACTCACCGATTATTAGCACTTTGTTACATTTGTTCTTTCTCTGCGTGTAGATCTACACATACACAGTGTGTGTGTGTGTGTGTGTGTGTGTGTGTGTGTGTGTGTGTGTGTGTGTGTTGTGTGGGTATTTTTTTGGTGGGAACTTTTGTGACACTTTGCAGATACTCAGCCTGAATACGTCAGCACTTAATGGTGATTCCCAAACATTTTTCTAATGGATTCTAGGATTCCCGGAGCAGCTGCTAATCAAACTTTGTGGCTTGTAAAGCTGATGGAAGACAGTGTCTGTCATATTTAACTTCAGGTTTCAAGGTTTTGTCTTCATCCGAAGAGCCCCATTGCTGTCCGTAATTGCCTTGCTAACAAGTGAACTTTGGAACTTATACATTTATGCTAATGTAACTTCGCTTTTGTCTACGTTACACATAGAGCTTTTCGGAAGATACGATTTGCAGACGGGATTTTGTTGCTCAGAATGTTCGAAAAGCCCGATGAGCCCCTGGTCTCTTTCTGGGTCATAACTGACTGCAGAAGCCTTCTGTTTTGGGTGCCTTAGGACGACGTGCACTCAGAGGGGTTGGGTCCAACGATCCACATCATCACTCCTGAATGGATCATAAGCAACAGCAAGGGGTAAAGGTCTCAGGAAATACGTTTGCCATTTTCACGTCCTTATTCTTTTAAAAACTATGCACACACGCACTCATTTAAAAAAATTTTAATGTTTATTTATTTTTGAGAGAGAGTGTGTGCAAACGGGGGAGGGGCAGAGGGAGGGGGACAGAGGATCCTAAGTGGGCTCTGTTGCCCACAGCAACAAGCCCAATGTGGGGCTCAAACTCACGACCATGACCTGAGCTGAAGTCAGATGCTCAAGCGATTGAGCCACCCAGGTGCCCCCACAGTCGTTATTTTTGTTTACATGCATCTCAATGATGAAGTTTTGGGGGCGATGGTGGGGTGGTCTGGAGCCAATGGCCGAGAAAGTATTCTTGAAGACGTCTTTGGTGCAAAAAGGTGATTTTACTAAAGCACGGGGACAGGACCCGTGGGCAGGAAGAGCTGCATGGGGTCGCGACGGGCAACTCGTTATATACCCTCAGGTTGGGAGGGGTCAGGGATAGAATAAGTCTCTAAGGAATTTTGGAAGCAAGGTTTCCAGCAGCTTGAGGGGCTAGCTCTTGCTAGGGAAATGGCATTTATTACTGTTTCATAAAACCTCAGTCATGAGACCCTTCAGATGTATATCGGGGGGCCATAAGCTTGGAGTATGATTGCCAGCATGTATCTTGGGGGAGCTGAGATAAAGGAAGTAGACTTACAGGATCCTCGAGGTTGGGGTAAGTTAAGCTAAGATTCCCTTTTGCCCCTAGCAAAGCGTCATCATCCGGGAAGCTGAGCTCCTAGAGGCAGGTCACTCTGTTTCAAGGACTTCTCAATGGACTGTAGGCAGCAAGGAAATTTAATTTTTCATTTGCCTTAGTTGCCCACGTTGCCGTGGCAAGCACTTGAGCCCCTTTGTTCTTGGGTGGTCAGGTTTGTCCGAGGAATATCACACACATTCCACCTGGAGGGGGTGGGGGTGGGGGTGCCAGCCTGTATTTTGCCCTCAGCTTGCCCCACGCCCCCTCATCATCAATGTATGCACATACACACGTATAAACATAGTAGCTGGCATTGTTTGCTTGGCTGCCCAGAACAGTGGCCCCAATGACGACCATGATGATGGCAGCAGTAGGACAATAGTTAGCATTTACTGAGGGTGACCTATGTAACAGGCGATCATCTAAGTGCTTTGCCTATAGTGTCTCATTTAGTCCTCAAAAAACCATTCTGGGTGGTAAGAACTATCATCCTCTTTGTTTTACAGATGAGGAAACTGAGGCGTAGGGGATTAAGCAAGGTGCATGCATATCCAGAGCTAGTAAGCAGCTGGGCTGGGGTCCAAACCCAGGAGTCTGACCCCAGACCCCTCACTCTTCACCACTCAGCTGTTCTGTTGGCTGGGATGCAAGGGGGAGGTACTCAAATCGGAGGGCTGAAAGCTAGCAGCGGAAGGAGGGGAGGGAAGGGACAAAAGTGGGGAAGGAATGAGTTTTGTTTTGCAGAACCGACAGTTTCTGCCAAGGAGCTGCACAGCCAGCTGTTTCTCCCCTGATAGTCCCTTGCTAGGTATTTTACCTGATAGCCCTTACGTGAGCCAGTCTGAGCCGGTTTGGAGCTAAGGATCTGCACAAAAGTCCCCCTCTGTCCCCCCCAAGTTGTCCTGAAGTTACCTTTAGCTTGTTCTACTGCCAAGATCTCCTGCGGGTGGAATTTGCTGCCAGTTTTTGAACATGATGTATGCACTGGCACGTGGACACGCTAGGCATGAGCAATTGAACCGAAACGCCTAAGTAATGGGATATGTATAAATCCTTAATGCATATGCAAGCTCCTTGCCCCGCCCCCAACACACAATAAAAGCTTCCCTTCCTAACCCCAGGGAGACACAGTCCTCTGAGAGCTTTCTCCCTGTCTCCTTACTTGTAACAACTCATCAAAAGTTCTCGGCTTTCAAACACCTCTTGGGTTGTGTTCAATTTCATGCAACCCAAGCGGGGACCCCCTTGAGTTCAGTCGTAGTGCTGCCTCCCAGACACGTGTGTGTGCATGTGATTGAGGTTAACTGAAACTTTTCCGCTAAGGAGTGCTTCTCTGCCCAGGTTTCTGGTTAGCATTCTGAAGCAGTCAAACAAGTTTCTTTTAAACATTTGTGTTTTCAGTTCGATGCTGAGTTTAGGAAATGAAGGCAGGGATGCCTGGGTGGCTCAGTCGGTTGAGCATCTGACTCGATTTTGGCTCAGGTCATGATCCCAGGGTCACGGATTCGAGCCTCATGTCAGGCTCTGTGCTGAGTGTGGGGCACGCTGGAGATTCTCTCTCTCTCTCTGCCCCTCTCCTCACCCCCTCTCTAAAATTAAAAGAAAAGAAAATGAATATAAACATATTCAGGATCATTGGGATAGCCAGCTTATAACCAAACAGCTGTAAACGTTAAGTTTACATCCAATTTCACATCCACGAATATTTGTAAGTCGTTACTAATAATATCCATTGGAGCTCAACACCAGGCTCCACAGTATATATTTTCTCCTTTAAGAAGGACCCATATGTTACTTAAATTTGACCAACACAGATTCTTGTGGTTCTAGAAATGAGATGACCAGCTCTTTCAGAATATACAGCAACTGCCTCCACCTAAGCAGTGCCCGGTTTAGGAGATTTACGGTAAAGCCATGTTTCCTAGGAGGTCAGTACAAAAAGCCAGGCTTCTACCGGCAGTTTCCGGGAGACATAAGCTTTCCATCCGACGCAGCGTTTTACCTTTTTCTCTGGGAAACGTTTATACTAGAAAAGGCTCAACTGGGATATTCATCAGCTGCTTCCTGCTCCCGTGGTGTTTGGTGGGGCTGATAACGGACAAGGATAAAATGCGCTGGGCATCTCAGGATCATGGAAAACTTGGAACTGAGGCTCAGGAATGCCCCCCATTTTCGCTGTGAGAAGGGAAACAGCTCTGTCCCCGTGTGCCAGAAGTGTGAAACATGTGTCCTCACCTGGAAGATCTTCTCTACCAAACAGTGGTTCCGGAGGATCGGTGAGATACCCCAAAGGAGGTTTCTGGTCAGCATCCTGGAGCAGTTGGATAGCTTGTATTTGTTACACTATTTCCAGAACATCCTTCAGGCCACGCAGGGGAAGGATTTCACCTACAGCCGGTCCCGGATCAACCTCAGCAAGAAGGAGGGGAAAATCAGCAGGTCCTCCTTGAACCAGATGTTGGATAAAACAGTCGAACAGAAGATGAGGGAGATTTTGTACTGGTTCGGGAACAGCACGCACTGGACGAAGGCAAATTACACGCTCTTGCTGTTCCAGATGTGTGACCCCAACTTACTGCTCACTGCTGCCAATGTCATCAGAGTCCTGTTCCTGAGAGAGCAGAGCAATGTCGCAGGTAAACAAGGCCACAGGGGGAGAGCAGAGGGCCCCCAAAGGTAAGGAAGCCAGACGTCAGGAGCCTGTAAAGGAACCAGACGTGTGGCCAGGCTTAGGTAGAAAAGCTTCAGGTTTTCCAGAACGCAGGATAGAGCTCCTTGTCCTGACATGCGGTCCTGTTTGCCAAAGGAGAAATTGCAGGATGTGACTTCCTTCTAGAAAAGCATGAAATGCAAATGCTTTTTAAAAAAATTTTTTTTTCAACTTTTTTATTTACTTTTTGGGACAGAGAGAGACAGAGCATGAACGGGCGAGGGGCAGAGAGAGAGGGAGACACAGAATCGGAAACAGGCTCCAGGCTCCGTGCCATCAGCCCAGAGCCTGACGCAGGGCTCGAACTCACGGACCGCGAGATTGTGACCTGGCTGAAGTCGGACGCTTAACCGACTGCGCCACCCAGGCGCCCCAAAATGCAAATGCTTTTTATGGAAGTACAGAACTTTTTTTTTATGTTTTATTTATTTTTGAGAGAGAGAGAGAGAGAGAGGGCACGTGCACAGGAGGGACAGAGAGACGGAGACACAGAATCCGAAGCAGACTCCAGGCTCCGAGCTGTCAGCACAGAGCCCGACGCGGGGCTCGAACTCACGGACCGTGAGATCATGACCTGAGCCGAAGTCGGACGCCCAACCGACTGACCACCCAGGCGCCCCAGGAAGTACAGAACTTTTAACTGTCCGGCATTTGCAAGGGATTTAGGCCCAGTTACGGCTGGCCCGTGCCTCTAATACTCATTGCTAGTGTGGCTCCTGCATTAGTGGGTTTGGGATTCGATGGGGTTTGGGAGGGATGTGAGGGGGAAGCTTCTGAATTGTTCTGCCCTTCAGTCTGCACTGCACAGAAACCGGGCCAAGAGGTCAAAACGCAGGGCTTGTTCCCATTCATTCCGCCATACTGCTTGCGCCTGCATAAAATCCAACCTGACGTGGTGTGTGTTCAAGCCGGCAGGTAGCAAGAGGGTCAAATAAGGGTAGGGCAGGCGTTCTCAAACCTTACCTTGCATCTGAATCCCTGGGAAGGCTTTTGAAAACGCAGGGGACTGGGACCCTCTCCCAGAGGTCCCGACTCCGCAGGTCTGTGGCAGCCGTGAGATCCTGCATGTCTAAGTTCCTAGCTGCTGCTGCTGGTGGCGGTCTGGGGTCCTCACCTTGAGAGCCATTGGTCTAGGGTGTTGGTGAGAAGGTCTTGGACATGTTTGGCCAGCTGGATCCGGAAAGCAAAAGAAGCCAGAAAAGAGGCAAGGGATTAGACAGGGGTCCATCACCGGTTCCGCGGGGGGCTGGGGGTTGGAGAAGACCCGGGAGGAGGGATCAGATGATCGGACGGAGGAGTGTCAGAGGGAGGAGCCTCAGCGGCTCCGCGGCTCAGTGTCTGAGCCCACGAAGGTGGGGAATTCCTAAATGTCCATGAGGCCTGTTCTGTGGTCATGTTTGTAGACGATTCGCATCCAAAAGAGTTTCAAAGCTAGACGACCCAGGGGACAGTTAGATTCCCATACATGGCACTGGGTTTCTTCGGCGTGTTAGGGAAGTAACACTCAGGGAATCTGAGTGACACAGCCTAGGCGACAAATAAAGGGACTTGAAAACCAGGCCTCCCTGACTGAACATGTCCCATCTCGAGGTGCTCCTGCCAGGAGCCAGCAGACTCCAGAAGGCCACACACACACACACACACACACACACACACACGCACATGCACACACACGTACACACACGTATGCACACACATGCACACGCGGGGCTCGAACCCGCGAAACCGTGAGATGACGACCTCAGCCAAAACCCAGAGTCAGACGCTTAACCGACTGAGCCACCTAGGTGACCCAGAAATTAAATTTTCTTAAAAAAAATTTTTTTTAATGTTTATTTATTTTTGAGAAAGAGAGAGAGAGAGAGAGAGCGAGAGTGGGCAGAGGCAGAGAGAGAGGGAGACACAATCCAAAGCAGGCTCCAGGCTCTGAGCTGTCAGTACAGAGCCCGACGCGGGGCTTAAACTCATGAACTGCAAGTGTGCATTGTGGGTCGGCAAAATCCAACAAGGAGCTTCCTGCAGTATTTGCATAGCAACTCGGGGGCTCCCCCGGATAAAACTGGACATAACCGGCTTGGTCCATTTTGTGTGGATTGAAAAGAGGGCAGTAGAAAGAAAACTGTTTTCCTCCACCTCCTTTCCTCCACACACCCCATGAAGGAGCACCCTTGTCTTGGCCTTTTGGTTTTCAGGGCTCAGTCAGTCCACCAGTGATGTGTTTGTCTTCCCGGAGAAAGACCACCACCAGTCTGAGACCTCGCAGGTCTGCCGGGCAGCCGGAACCAAGAACACATCCTTCCCTTTGTCCAGATCTCCAGGGAAAGAAGGGTTGCTTGAAAATATGGGGGGTGGACCATCTGACGCTGGTAAGTCAGCCCGTAGCAGGAAAGCCAATAGGTATGAGACTGGGAAGTCCCCCGTTTATTTATTTTTGAGAAAGAGAGGGAGAGAGAGAGAGAGGGCAGGGGCAGAGAGAGAGGGAGACACAGAATCGGAAGCAGGCTCCAGGCTCTGAGCTGTCAGCACGGAGCCCGACGTGGGGCTCGAACCCACAAACCGCGAGATCATGACCCGACTCGATGTCCGACTGA